GTACACTGACACATTACAGGCACTTTAAACCACATGATCAGATCACATAAGAGTGCTGGACATTACTAAAACAGTAGAAAACACCTGTATATCATCACTGTCGGAACATCTCCAAAACGGTAGCTTTGCAAGAGAAGGAAAAACATCAATAAATTATAAAACATTATGGAAGTTCATTAATATTTTTCATTTCGCACCATTGCCTTTAGGTCTATTCATCAATTAAATTTTAACACAATGCAAAGGGTAACTGGGGTTTTTAAATTATGGAAGTGAAAAAAGTGAAAACAATAAATAAATATGGAGATACAAGGGTTTTGCACCAACAACGATGACATGGTATATTTATACCACATATGAGTAAAAAAAAGGTGGGTAGAAAAGCTAAATCAATACTATAGTTAAAGCATTGTTACTGAGGTTAAATAATGACTGAAGAAAAACTAGAAGTACCTTTCAAAAGAAAACTCAAGTAGAAGTACACAAGTAACAGCTCAAAAAACTCTATAACTTGAATAATTGCAGTGGTACATGAACTGCAGTTTGTTGGGCTCTATTCTTCTCTTCATGATTCATTTTTGGTTTAAAATAAAAAGACAAACGTGAGACAAATGTCATCAAGGTGACCAATCATAAAGCAGTCATAAAATAGTTCTACAAGAGTTCTTTAGTAAAGGCAATGTCTATCTACATAAATATGAACACTAATAGAACCATTTGAATGCCTAAATGGTTAAATGTTTCTTCTCTAAGTTTTCATTCATTAAAAAAAAAAACTTTTTTTGGTTCTATATAGCACCCAAAAGGTTTTGATGTTGTTAGAAGCCACAGAACCTTAATACGATATTGAACCTTTCTTGCTAAGAGCTTATATATATACCCTTAAGATGGTCCTTTAAGGTAACAGCTCAAATGGTTCTAACAAGTAACAGCTCAAAAAACTCTCAATAACTTAAAGAACTGCAGTGGTACATGAACATGAGCTCTATTCTTCTCTTGATGATTTATTTTCGGTTTAAAATAAAATGATAAACTTCAAAAGTCATCGAGGTCACCAAAATGGCAGAATTACACTGTACAAATGGCTAATTACTTCATGCAATAATAAGTAAATTAACTAGTTTTATTCAAACTAAATAAATATTTTAAATGAATGATTCTTTCAATCATTGTAATTTTTTGAGTTGAATAAAACCAGCTCAATTGCTTGTTACCACATTAACTATTTTTAGGTTGATCTGATGAGCCATTTTTACAGTATAGTATCAAAACATTAAAATTGAAAGTGTAACTGATTATAAATTTAGTACTTGAGGATAAATAAAAGAGTTATTATTTGAAAATTACTCATTGAAGTTCAAATCCATCATTATTTTACATTAACAAACAGAAACAACAATTATCTTACTTGATGTCAGGTCTACTTTTACGTTTTATTTGCCCTTCATATTGCTTTAATTGGTCTTCCACTTTAGGGTCATCCACTTTAATATGTCTAGATTAAGAAGCTGTTAAAATGTACATACATACAATATTTGTAATGCAATATACATAGAATTTTTGTTATTTGCTTTATGTGCTGTGGGGCTCAGCTCCCATCTGTCTCACTGAGCTTTAAGTATTATAAATAGGTAAACCTTCAGTGCTTAAACTAGACTCCAGTGCCATACCACCCCTCCCCAGTGAATCTGAGCAGTGTTCTAATTTTCACCATATACAAAGTACTAACTTATTCATGCCCACCTAACAACAGTATATCACTGTAGACTAGCAGTAATGACTCAAATACGCAGGCTATTCTGACACTCAACAAAGTCATAATGGACTGTTGTATTCTGATAGAATCTGGTGATTTTGATCAAATGAAAAATAATACTGGTTGATGATTGCTAGAAATGTCTTGCAATGCAATTAACATATCTTGGAAAGATCAGTAAATTAACTGTAATTAATATTTACTTAGTTTAATTTAATTTGATTCTGTTATGTTGTCGACAATATGTGGAATGCTGTATCATTGTATAATTGGACACCCTTTGGTCTTTTGAGGTTTATAATTTTATTTTAACCCTTTAAATGGTAAGGGCCCCAAAGTTCACACACTTCTATAAACTAAGAATAGCTCAAACAGATTTAGTAGTAGTTACTGAATAATAAGCCTTAACCAGCCAACAAGCCTGTGATTTTAAGGGGTTCAAGCAAAAAAAAGAATAACAGAGTCTAACAAACTTCACTTCCCATACTGACTGATAGATGCTGTATATACATACATATGTATATATTACTTTACACTAAACTAGCCCAATAATATCATAATCCACATTTTAGGATTTAACAGTCTTCATGCAGAGACAGACTAATCAATACTAGTGAGCACACAACTCATTATTTTATACACTAAGCTTTCGCCCACAGCTGAAAACTCTCTACGCAGAAGAGCAGCAGGCAATATTAGTTTTTCTCCTGCCACCTCCCTCCTTATTGCTTTTAAAAATTGGTCTTAAAAGGCTGTGAAAACTCTGAACAGAGTTTCTTTTTCCTTAGTCTAAAGTTGCACATTGTACTCTCGGTGCCTCCTTTCGGTCAGAAAAATGCTTGAGATTTTTTTTACTGCACTTCAGTACTCACCACAGTGGCATTAGGATAGTTAAGGTGGTATTCATATATCTACAATATATAATATACCTATAATATATTTCACAATATTACACTGCTATGTTGTAATCACAGGAAATCATGAGAAATAAGAAAGCTCACTCTTAGAAAACAGGGTTCTATATAGTATCAAAAAATGATTTGCCTTGTAAAAATAGTGGAACCCTTTTTTGATATATAGAACCATTTAAAATGGTTCTTTAAACCATATAGAACAGGTGAAGAGCCATTCAACCATGCAAAGAACCATCTGAGCATTCAAATGGTTCTTTGAAGTTGTCACTGTTTAATATGTAACCACTGCCTTTATTAAAGAGCCTCCCCTATTTTTAAAGGTGCACTGAACAACAGCATTGACTTCCTGCAGTGGTTTGTGTAGAGTTAATATTGTAATCACAGCTCTATTATTTAATCTTTTACATATTTTAAACAACATAGCTGCACCACTACATGCCAGCATAAGCTGAACACTTCATTCTGACTTTTCATACATCCGTCAAGCCGATTCAACGGCAGTGTCAAAATGAAACTGGACAGAGAGCAGATGGTAATTCCCCAAATGGCAAGATTTTATCACTTTTCCTTACAGTTATCACTGGTAACACCGATAGAATAATGTAGAAATGAGTAACTCTGTTTGTCTGCTTACAAAAACAAATTCCATCAGCCTGAACGACCATAATAGGAGAACACGGAGCACGTTTCCTGTGGAAATCAATGAGGCACCGTAGGCACACTGACAGAGTGCTTGCTCTTGTCAAGTCATTTCCCCAAACAACTGTCCAGTGAGGTTAGACAAACTTTCAAATTTCCATGCTTTTCTTTGGGCTTGACATATTAACTGCAATCGACAGCCAAAGGAAGTTAGCAGTAGCATTCCAATATAATATTAGTATGAAATACTCTTAACCTTAAAATACTCTTTTACCCTTTCTTCTTTTAGGTTCTCATATCTTCTGTGATTTGCATTATTATCATTATTATTATTACTATCCATTTCAAATAAATTTTCATAAGTAGTCTGTCTAAATGTGTACTGCAATGAACTACAGCAACAATCTGAGCAACAGACGTGGTTGCAAAGCAACTGTTTGATGTCTTTAGACTGTAATGAAGTTTAATCAAATATTATAAGCATTATAAGAATTTGAATGACGGTTTTAATCTGCCCAAATCCCAAGTGAAGTCCACTTAACTTTGCCTGATCCACACTTGACCTCGCACTCACATGCACGGGATCGGAGGCTAAACACTCCAGAGCAGGCCAGGCTCTTTCATTCCCTCCTTCCCTTCAAACTGCATTCTAGGTTGGGTTATGATTTAGAGAATTCTTGCTTATTGTTATTATTGGAAAAGTTTCAGGAATGTTTTTGGTTATCTTATTCCAAAAACTCTTTTTACTGCATGAAAAACAAGAAGCCACTGCTCATATGAGTTCAGTTTGTTGTAAAACCTCACTATAAATGTTTTATAGAAAAGGTTGCTTTGCTTAAGAGACTTTTAAGACAAGGCTTATAAGACACAGTTTTATGTTTTATGTTGTTGTTTTTCCAAGCCTGAAATCATTCACGAACAACATGTAGCAGCAAAGGATACAATGTAGGTAGATATTCTTATAAGACAATGCATGTTATATCTTATATATGTACAATGTGCATTAATTATTAACTGATACTGGCATCATTTTATAGATTATTCCTTAAAGCCTATATTCAGAATTTTCTTGAAGAAAAAGTACAATCAAAATCAGATCAAATCAAGAGAACATTCAGAAGGTTACTAATAAATAATTTCAAATTAAAAAATGATTTAAGTGATTTAAGGCAAGTATAATAATGCTTGGTTCAACATGTGTGTGTGTTTTTTTAACTGTTATTCATTTCTACTGACTACAAGCAGAATGAAAGGAAAACCTTCCTAAAGCTTTTGATAATCTGATGACATTTAAACACATACAAATCAAGCATGAAAAAAAAAAGTCATGGGTACAAAGCAGCGTTTTCAGCCGAAAAAAAAGAGAAGCAAACTCCCAAGCCGTCATACTAGGCCATGAACCTTAACTCGTGTGGAGCCGTAGCACAAAGCTGTCTTTTCACCCTGACTCTGGCTCCGTTCAGCAGATAAGGCTTGAGAGAGTTTGTTTACAGAGTGCAGAAAGACAGCCCAGGCAGGCGCTCATTAATCAAATAATCCACGTTACAGAACCAAAAACTCAAAGAACAAAGGAGAAGATTCATAGAGCATCTGTTAGTCCTGCGTATGTGCCTGTACACATGCCCTGGCCTTTTGTCTCGCCTTTATTTAAGATAAGCGGCTGAGTAAACAGAGAAGAGGATTCCACTTACCTTAGCCGAACGACTGCTGAACTCTGCCGAAGGAGAATAAGCACTCTCGCTCGTCCTGCTTAGAGTTTTTCAAACTGTTCTGTAGACTGTGAAGAAAGTTCAGAATTGAGACAAACCCCCCCGGCCCCACCCCGAAAAACTTGTGCACACCCCCCACCGCACCACCACCACTGTCTTTCTCCTCATCCACGAGGGGGAATTGCTTTAAGCAGCCGTCAGGCACAACACCGGCTTCAGCACTGTGCAGCTGTACTGCTTCCCCGTCCTCTTCTCCAATGAGATTCCTTAAGCCTCTACCACATGATGTGGGCCAAAAAAAAAGAGAGGAAAAAAAAAGAAAGAGCTAGCCAGCAGTGAGGGAAGAGAGAGAAGAAAAAGATCCGGCTAGAGCGAAGGCTGTAAAACTGTGGCGGAAGGGCTGTCCACCTGAAATTCAGGTTTAGGCTTTTCAGCACTCCTCCGCTCCTCTGTCGTAGTTTATGGAGGCAGCACAGCAGAGAAGAGAGAAAGAAAGAGGGAGGGAGGGAGGGAGGGTGAGGCGTAAGGAAAGTGCGCATAATCCTCGCCCTGCAGAAACTTCCTCCCGCTCCAATAAGAGCCGCTGCCCCTCGTCCAAGTGCTGGAATGCAAAGGCCAGGCTTTCGGAGGCCCAGTCAGACGAGCTCCAAGCCACTGTCAACTTAGGTTTAGTAAGAAGGACTGTGTGTATGTCATTCTTTGTGTTTCTGAATGTACAGTACCAAGACCTTTCGTTTGTTTCATTGTGTCAACAGCCAAGTTAAAGTTATTTATTTTAACATCAGGAAACAAACAAGAAACCATATATTTAAGAGAAACTTACACAAAAGCTTTAACAACTAAATATAATATCAGTGATGACTGTTTTTCAAAGAAGTCTGCAGGGATATTTTTTCACACCTCCAAAGTTCAGTCTTAGAGGATGGTTACATTTTCAGCTTCTCTGTAAGCCAACTAATCCCAAGTATATTCAGTGATGCTGAGGTCTGGACTCAGGGGTGGTCAGTCCATTGTTCTGAGAACACCAGCAGCTTCTTTGTTTCTTCATTTTTGTCTATTTCCTTTTCTCAGTAATGTCCTGCATGCTACACATCCTTTCAGACTCACAGCGCTGAGCTGTCTTCTCACAGTGGAAGGATGGACAGAAACACTGTGGATTTTTTCAGATCTGAAGCAAAAGTGGAGCTTGATTCTCTCCTCTCTCTCAAAGATGAAAGCTTTAAGTTCTGTTTATCTGATGGGGACAGGTTTGTTGGTCTACCAGGTCTTGCATAAGAGTCTCATTTCCTCATTTTTTCTGATCTTTTTAAACTCCAGTTTTGGAAACTCTTCACACATTTTCCTTTGACTTTCTCCTTCCTTAAGCAAGTGTCTCATATAATCTCAGCACCAGCTCAACCTAATAAGCATCGTAAACAGCTGCTTAGGGCCTCATGACTGCCTAACAACTTCTGGGTTATAAATTTACTATTATGTTGTCTAAGATGTTCGAGTGAGGGGGAAAAAAAGCAACTGGTTAATTATGTCTTGCACAAGACTGTACACATCTGGAGCCAAAAAACAGAGAAGAAAAAGAGAAGACGAGAAGAAAACACTTTTATATTTATGACGAAAAGCCAATCACATAAAACATGAGGAACAGTTGCCAAAGAGGGAAAAAGAAATCATTGCTAACTAGTTAGAAAGTAAAACATTCATAACAATAAAGTAGCAACACTGGCGCCACTGCCACTAAGATTAGACTGAACTAAGCTTAGAGTTAGCTGGGTAAGTAAACTAATACTGTTGTGAGACAGATCCCTGAATGAGAATGTTATCTGTTATTCAAATTATATCTTACTACAACCCCAAAGAAGCATTCATTTATTATTAAAAAAGGTTTGTGAGTTTGGACCGCACCCAACACTAGGGACAAAGGAGGGAATTCTGAGAAGCTTGGACAGGAGTTCTGGAGGAAGCTGGACTCCTCTGTCCTTCAGCAAAAGATAGCAGGAATGGAAGAGTGGGAGGAGATGGGGGATGCTGAAAGGAGAGGGGAGAATTTACAGGGTGTAGAATATAGGGGCATCAGTTTGGGTGTGTTCCTCCCAAAATTAGGTTATTTTATAACTTTATTTGTGGTAGTTATTGTGATAAGTCACCATCTAATGTTATAGAACTGTCTAATCTTCTTACAAATATCTCCTGACTGTTTTGATTGGAAGTTGAAGAATGGTCTCTGACTAGCACTGCACGTGTCTGTTCGAGATTACATCAATACTTTAATGCCACAGTAACATGCAAAAAAATCCATATACAAACAGCCTGAAAGAATTGAAATCATAGAAGAACCACTTCCCAAAAGATGTTTTCAATATTCGATGATCTTTACAGAACCCTCTTGGTAAATGGATTTTGCTGATGTGAACATTTTTAAAGTTTAGAGAAGCTCCACAGAATGTAAAAGTCTACATTATTTAAAAAAAGTGCCAAACAGTTTCTTTTTGTGCAACACCAAATAAAAGTCATAGAGAACAACCACTTTTGGTTCCCTAAAGGTCCTTTTAATGAATGGAGGACTGTTTTTTGTAAATGAGATACATGACTGTGAAGAACCTTTAAAAAGTTCCTCCAAAGAACCTCCAAATAGCGTAAAGGTTCTAGGAAGAACCATTCAATTGGCACTGAACCTTTACGTTATGTGGAGGGTGTTTAAACTTTTAAAAGGTTCTTCATACTCACACATCTCTTTCTCAAACATGGTTCTTCATGCCAACAACATTGGTTCTTCAATGCCTTCACTCAAAGAGCTCTTTGTGGCAACAAAAGAGTGCATAGAGCGTTTATATTCTGTGGAGTTTATCAAAGTTTGAAATTTTTCTTCACAAGCACACATCACGTGTACAGAAGTGTTTTTTCCAAATATCAAATAAAGGTTCCTAAACGTTTGTGGCTTTTACAAATGGGAAAACATTGAACTGGTATAGAACCTTTACATTCGTTGGAGGTACTTTATACTTTAAAAAAAAACAGGGAAAGAAAAGCAGTTCTTCCACAGCACCACCCTAAAGAACCCTTTTTAGCACTTTAATTTTTTAACAGTCTATTCTAGTCAACCCTGTGACGGACTGGCGACCCGTCCAGGATGTTTCCTGCCTTCTGCCCAATGACCGCTGGGATAGGCTTCAGCACCCCCTGCAACCGAGGAGAATAAGTGGTTTAGAAGATGAATAAATGAATGAATATGCTAGTCAATCACAATCAATCTATTTGTTGTCTAAGTAATCTGTACTGTGTTGCCTGAAACTACCCTTAATACTACAGCATACTAATGCAAAAAATATCTTCAGACAAGCATAGTGAGGCAACACAAGTGATTTTGAGGAACAAACACTTTCACTTTTTCAGCCGCAGCATCATCTTCACTGTATATGTTTAAATCCTCATTTTAAGTATCTGCTACACTGCACAACATAGCATTCAACATTCTCCTTCATCTGTACAGTACAGAACTGAAAAGGTACCTGCCGTCAGTCCTATTCCCCAAAACAATTTCTCTCAAAAATCACAGCAACATGTTTAGAAATGGACACTGTAACTGTATCCATCACCATGGATTCCCAGCAGTCCTTCCACCATTAACCGGAGACAAACCCCAGCGTGCATGAGAATCAGATGACAGCTGTCGCGATTGTCGGTGATGTAAACCTCCACTCTTTTTTTTCTGAGAGTTTGACTTACATCATACGGCTCGGTGCCAGACCTAAGTGACTGTTTTGGATGTCAAAAGAGATGAGGATCGCTTACTGTGGCCAAATGTAACAGGGAATATAAGTTACAGCTTCTCCAGGCAAGTTATGAACTTTCAGACATTTTTTAATAACTACTTTCACACATACTGAGCGGACAGTTTATCCATAAACACAACTTTAGTAGAACCTTCAAGCTCATATGATCAAGACATGCTTCCTCTGCTTATTAACGGGCTGTCTTAAGACAATCACAAGACAAGAACATTCTTTAAAGCAAAGCTCAGTGAGACAGCCAGCTGCAAAATCTTCTTACAAATGTAGGATTTCTACCATCCACATTTACCACAGTGGACGTCAGAATAAGAATCACACACTGAAAGACGTACAAAGTTCCTTGTTCTTTTTTTTTTTTTAGAAAAACTGCTCTCATTAACAAAATATAAGCCCCCAGCTAAACTGAAACAACGGTATTAATTTCATGCATTTGAGTGTCGTGATCAAGAAGTCAAGTCACCAGCGCAAAAAAATCAGTATGCGGTAAAGCCATTTTGTTTCAGCGGTTGATGCAGGTTGAAATTTGAGCACCGGACCACACAGACCCTTTTGGTATACTGCTGTAATGCTCTTGCACTTCTAGCAGCATTGAGCTTGTCTTCGCTATGCCCTTTTCCAGAATTATTCAAGAGACTAATCAGACCCAAGGGAGGGGGGGCCACAGTGCTTGGGGCCCAGAATAGGCTCCATTAGATCTCCATTTGGACCACAGCCAACACTGCACAGATGATTAGTGCCTGTGGGACAACTTCTTGCTCCACCCTTTGAGGCCCTCATGAAAAACTGACATTTTTTTCAGAGCGCAGGCCAACAAAACTGTTCACTTTAGTTTACATGGTGGTGCATGGGCTAATGAAGTGGGATTATTTTTGTATTAGTTACTGCACTGGTGATTAAGTGTGGTCATTCGTTGACATTTGCCATCTCAGACCCGACTGTTTCTGCAGCAGTATTGCAGTAGTTCCATCCCTGCAATGAATGTGCTTGAATGAACTGAATGAACTGTTATGAAAGCCACAGGCATACTGATCAGACAGAAAATGATCAGTGAGCAAGCTCAAAACATTCGCACACAAAGTTTTCATTGTGTTATCAGCAACAGAGACGGGCTTTGGAAAAAGGCGAAAGGAAACCAAAGCGTTTCTCAAAGTGCCAGACTGTGAAGAAAATCTGCTTTTGCTCTTCTTAAAACTATAAAGTATAAAATACAAAACGCAATAGAAACAGTACAGTTGAATAGCAGTGAAGTAACGAGTCAAGCTGTAAAATCTGAACAAATAAACGTTTTCACAAGGTTAACCTGAATTCT